AGTCAACATGGATAACCCACAAGCTGCTGTTGGTGATCAAGGGCCACACAGTGTTAAAGGTGTACAAGGACCTCAAGGCTTAACTGGTGCTCCAGGAGCTAATGGAAGAGCTCATGTCCATCCTCCTACACCAACTAGTCATTGGCGTTAGGGATGCACCATACACTCATGCCACTATACATGGCATCATACTTCCTCCAATGGCTAATAACAACTTTGAGATCAAGAGCAATTTGATTTCCATGGTCCAAGGTAACAAGTTTCATGACCTGCCTTTGGAAGACCCACTTGATCATCTGGATCAGTTTGACAGAATTTTCTCTATAACCAAGATCAATGGTCTGAGGATGGTTTAAAACTCAGGCTGTTTCTCTTCTCTTTGGGTAACAAAGCACACTTGTGGGAGAATAACTTGCCACAAGGTTTCATCACATCTTGGGAGCAGTGTAAGAAAGCCTTCTTGGCAAAATTCTACTGTAACTCCAGGACTCCTAGGCTGAGAAATCTGATCTCAGGTTTCACTCAAGGGTCTTAAGAGAGTTTCTGTGAAGCATGAGAAAGGTTTAAGGGATATACTATGCAGTGCCCCCATTATGGCTTTTCCAGTGAGTCCCTCCTCTCCACTCTTTACAGAGGTGTACTGCCCAAGTTTATAATGCTGTTGGATACAACAAGTAATGGTAACTTCATTGGAAAAGAGTTGGATGAAGATCTTGAACTTGTGGAGAATTTGGCTCATAGTGATGGTAATTATGGAGAAAACTTTGACAGGGTGCCTAGGAGTTCTAAGGAAGAGCTGGAATACAACAGAAAGGAGATCAAGGCACTCAATGAGAATCTTGAAAAACTGCTCTAAGGGAATCAAAAGGAGGTCCACTTTGTTGGTGAATATATTCAGAACGAAAAAGATCAAGAAGTCGACATTGAGGAAGTTAATTACTTGGGAGGACAATGAAGTCTCAACAACTTTAACAACATCATAAACCCCAATCTCTCCTACAAAAGCAACAATGTTGCTAACCTTGGAGATCAGGTTTACCCTCCTCAGGGCCAAGGCATGCAGCAGAAGCATTTTATTTCTTACAATCAGTAACAAGGCTTTGTTCCCAAAAATAATTTTCAAGAGAACTATAACAGCTTTCAGCCTAAGCCTATGAACAATCATTAGACATTGAATCAAGTTGTATTTTGAGTTCTGTGATTTAACAAAAGAACTGAAGTTAACAGAGAGGTAATATGTATATTTGTTCAAACAATGAAACAGAGTTACAAAACTTTGCAAACTGAACTTAAAATCGAACCTCAAAGTTCATGAATGCTTCTTTATAAATCTATATATATATATATATATATATAAAGTAGAAGTTGCTCTCTTCTTAGACTGTCACCTCATCAATACAGATCTTAAAATTGTGACAGATCATCAAACATTTTTATTAATTTTATTAAGTTTTGTTTGATTTGTTATGTTTTATTTTCTAATCTTTCAATTCTTATAATAACTAACATTCATTAGTGTAATAAAATTTAAATATAATATGAAAAGTATTTAGTCATAAAAAAGATTATATATTAATCATATAAAACTTTTATAAAAAAATTAATATTATCTAAAATACATCTAAAAAAACATTAGACAGTTATGAAGAAAGATTAATGTTGTATGAATAAACATTCAACTCAAATTTAAGAATAAAGAAATGTAACTATAATATTTAATATAATTTTTTACATCCAAGGTTATCAAATGAGACCAATATTAAATATGTGACTATTTAAAATTTATTTTTTTGATATTAAATATTATTTATGAATCCAACATAAAAACTAAATAATATAATATTTTATATATTACTAATTTTTTTTATAATAATGATGCAAATATGCAATCGACGGAGATGTTGGAGCTGTTCGAAATAGCCAAGAAATCGGCAGATGTGGCCAATGCAAAGGGTCTTCTCCTAGCTAAAGCAGAGGCATCAGTCTGCGTGGACACTCTCTCTTTGTTCCTCGGTTTCCCCATCATCTCTACAGCTTCTGAAACAAGGTGGATCATGGAGAAGCTTGCGCATCTTACAAAGCACAAGGACCGCAAAATCTGCAACTCTGCATCAGCACTTCTTCAGCACTGGAGGCAGAGCATCAGAAATCAACAACGCCAAGATTCCGATGCCAAAGTGAGGAAACAAACCATATCGATCTAGGCATGTTTTGTTATAAGAAACGTTTGTTTTCAGCTTAGTGTATACTCCATTATTTGAAGTAAAAGAAATCAAGAGCATTCTCTCATATAGTATAAGATGAAATCGCAATCAACAACTAAAAGACAACGAAAAAAGACCCTAAAGAAAAAACTAGAACATTTTTAGGTCAATATAGTTTGAGATAATTAAAAAAGAGTATTTTACCAAATTCTAATTACAGAAAAGAGCATTTTCTCAACTAGAGTATTTTCATATAAAATAACACTTTCTTCAACGAAAGTATTTTCATTAAGTGAAAAGTCTTTTTTATTCTTTTTCTTTGGTTTATCCAATTTCATTTCTTTCTTTTTTTCATCTCTTCTCTCTCGTCACAATTTTTTTTTACTTTTCAAATTCTACCTTCTCTCTCCTTATCTCTTCTCTCGTATCTGCTCCTCATCTTTTGCATCTCTTTTCTCTCCTCGTTTCTTTTCTTATTCCTTCATCTAGATGCCTTCTTATGGATCATTTATGATAGATGGACAAAATATAATCAAGTAACATTCTAATTAGCTATATCCACACAAAACTATCAACAACTTTCATCTCCTATAAATTAGTTATATCTACACCAAACCGTCCACGACCTTCACCTAATCCCTTTTTATGAATAATTTATGATGGATGGACAGAATCTAATCTAACTAACATTCTAATTAACTATTCACACTAAGCTGTCCACGATCTTCATCTCCTATAAATCAGCTATATCCCACACCAAACCATCCATGACCTTCATCTCTAACAAATCAGTTATAAATTAGTTGTATCATGTAAAATGTTGTCTTTATATCCATGCAATTCTATCCATTTTTATCTTGTCCACGATACATATATAAATATATATATATATATATATAATTTACAAATACTTTATATTTAATAGGAGTTATTGGTTCTTGTATTTTGGTGGATTTATAAATCTTCTTTGGATTTGATAAATTTATTGATTTCAAAATCAGCAAAATGGAAAAAAATCAAATCTATTCAAATACCAAGGTTAGACCTTGTATTTGGGTCTTTGTATTTTAATCATGAAAATCCTTCCAAATCCATTCAAATTCAATTAAAACTCAAATCCTTATAATATTTAGATTCTAAAATGATAGAACCAATAACACTGTATTTCATTATGGATTTTAAAATCATAGAACCAATAACACTGTATTTCAATATAAATTTTAAAATACAAGAACCAGTAACACTGAATTTGGTTTGGATTCTCAAATCCATTAAAATACAAGAACCAATAACACCTCCTTAATATGATTAATTGATTTTATCCATAATATGATATCCACATTAAATGAGCTTACTATATATATGGTTTATATATATCGAAGCTGAGCTTACAAGAAGATATGTCTGGTGGTTGTACATGTGGATACTTGTGTATAGAATTGTCAAAATGGATGAACAAATCTGTGTGTTTTATCAATATTTGTATACACAAGTACCTTTTTCAATCACTCTTCTACTAAACCTATCCATGATATTACATCCACAGATTACCATCCATGCCAATATAATATGTATAAAATTCAGACATTCATTTCTATGCTAAATTTTAGACATGTCGAAGTTAAACTTAGTATAAAACATGTCTGTTGGTTGTACATGTGGATACTCACATATCGAATGGTTGGATACATTTATTTCTATATATAGTTCATAAATACTTCATCTATAATATGATCAGTTAGTTGTATCCATGATATGATATCCACATTAACTGAGCTTACTATATACATGGTTTATATATATCGAAATTGAGCTTACTATAAGATTTAGCTGGTGGTTGTACATGTGGATACTTGCATATGGAATGGTCAAAATGGATGAACAAATTTGTGTGTTTTATTAAATATCTATGTACACAAGTACCTTTTTCAACCACTCCTCTACTAAACCTATCCACAGATTACCATTCCTGCCAATATAATATGTACCAAATTCAGACATTCATCTTTATGCTTAATTTTAGACATGTCGAAGTTAAACATAGTATAAGACATGTCTGGTAGTTGTACATGTGGATACTCTCATATTGAATGGTTGAAATGGATGAACAAATCTGTGTGTTTTGCAAGATATACATGCCCACAATTATCTTTCTCAATTACTCATCCGCTAAGACTATGATATTTACAGATTAACATTCATACCAACATAATACGTACGAAATTCAGACATTTAACTAAGCTTAGTTTCAGGTGAAAACTATATGTTTCAGATGTATGTGTATTAATGCGTACACATGCATATGTAGCAATGGACATATATCTGTGGATGGTGGTTTGTCTCAAAAATGACTATGAACGTATTCATACCCAACCCATCCACTATTGACACTTACTCTACCATCTCACAAATAATTTTACTCTATACTATATTTTTGTCCACCATAAAGATGAAAAAAAAAGAAGAGAAAAAACTATAAAAAAGAGAAAAATGGCAAAACAAAAATGATAATTTTATTAAGGGTATAATAAATAAAACACATGTGAAAAGTAAAGAAAAGTATAACCAAAATACTCTAGTTAGGGAAAGTGCTCTTTTTTGTAGGATGAATGAAAAACCTAGTGAATTTTTGAATAACCAAAAAGATAAGTTAGGTGCAAAACATACATAAACTGGATAAGATCAATCTAGCTTTTTTTCTTTATTGCTTCAGAAGTATCTCAGACTTGCAAAACCCAAAAAAAATAGAAAAACCTGTAACAGCATAGTGTCGAAAAGAGAGCTTAACGGGTTGGTTTATTTGTCTTTCGTTCGGTTCTTGATGTCTTGCAGCTGCATTATATATATTAAGATGTTTTAAGTCCAAGATTTTTTCTTCCATATTTTGGAAAACCAAGAAGAGAAATCAAGTCTACATTATCGAGTCCATTATCTTCAGAGGTTTTCATCACTTGAAGTCTTTTTACCAAGGTGATGAACATTCTAAGATATACCAGAAAACCCCAATTTAGATCATGAACATTCATCAAACATAACTAGATGATAAATTCAAGGTTTTAGGATCTGTTACCTCCATGGAACATCACCAACAAGCATCCAATCTCCTTCCTTGTCTGCACAAGTAAGTACAAACTCAGAGGATCCATCTAAGAGTCTCAAGGGTTTAGTAAACTGACCCGTTAACCCGATAGTACCCGGGCTAGTGCGGAAGAACATATCTTCTAGTGTCTGCGCCAAATTATCGTAAGAAGAATGAGCATTCAGATCAAATTTCCTTCCTATAGCAACTCCATCCATGTTCACCTTTATAAACCCAACTTCCACTTTCCCATTCACATTCTTTGTCACATCTTTAGTCTCATCATCTTTCACTTTCTTCTTACCAGCTTCTTCTTCTCCCCTCGCCGACTTTGTAGCTCGGTAATAAACCAAACTGTTTATCCTGTGAGATCCAATAGTTGGCCATCCTACAACTGGACTGCTACACAAAAAGCAGACATCACTCAGACCTTTTGAATGTCAAAATGAATCAAAAGCTATTTCCACAACAACCAAAAACAGAGCCCCTTCTTCCTACATAAGTTGATTAAGTTTATCTGAATAACTGAGCTAGCTCTAGAAATAGCCAACCAATAAGAAGAATATTGTAACTCCTAGACAAATTATGTAAAGGAATCAAAAGTGAGTTAGCTCCTTTAGCAACAATAAACACTAAGAGTCTTTAACTATGTTCTGAGAATAGCAATTTCACACCACACATAGAGAGTAAACACTTAAAAGATCTTTTCTTTGAAACTGTTCAAGTTCTATTTCCCCTGAGAACAAACGCTTATAAAAGGATTAAGCTTTTTATATCTAAAAGACAAACCCTGAACGAGGAGCAGATGCACCTGCGTGAGAAGCAGAATCAGCAGTTCGCTTTGAGCCAACAGAAGGAAAATCCTTAGCAGTCAAAAGCCTACCACGCGCCGCCACCGCCTGAATATCCAATCTTGGCTGCCGTTCCACCGCCTATACTGAGCCCTAGACCCAGTTCCAGCTCACTCTCACCTTTCCCCATCTCAAGCTCAGCAATCATTTAGAGAGCACAGCAACAAAAACCCACAAAGAAAGAGTCCTAAGAATCCAAAGCTAAGCCCAAAAGAGAGAAAGAAAGAAAGAAAGAGAGTCTTTTGGAAGTCAAGGAGTAAAGAAAAACCTGGGAGTGTAGACACGAAAGGAGAGAAAAAAAGAAGCACATATCTGCTTCAGAAACTGAATTTGTATGCAGCTGATGGTCTATGTACAAAAAGTAACCTTGGATGATTCTTGAGAAAGGCCATCTGCCTCTATATGCTCCACTTGTTATGATCTGTAGAAACCCTCAATGAATCCTCCTCGTTATAACCTTGAGGACTCGCGTCAGATCCTGAGCATTCTTCACTCTTCACATAACAAAAATGCAGAACAAGATCACAAAGGTTTAAACTTGGCATCTTTTTTTTTTTTTTTTGTCATCAACTTGGCATCAAAAGATGAAAACAAACATTAACTCAATGTCCATGAACACTCATTTCTACGATAAAGCTTTACTTACAATTGAGGTAAATCATCATCCGAATCGAAGATATGGGTCTTGACTGGTTTCTTATTCGATACTCTAAAGTTTGCAGGGATAATCTTTGAATTCAATGGAATCGGAAACTCCAAAAGAAAAAGGTGGTGAAACCTTAGAAAGATGATGCAGATTGCTTCAACAGTGAGTATGTTAAACCCACCACCTGATACTAACTTATATTGCAAACAACTAACTTCAGTTGGTAGAATGGCCACACAAGTGTGATGAAAAACACTTGATAAACCGGATTGATCCCCTAGATATGACACACCAAGACAGATCGAAATGTTCACAAGAAATAAAGAGAATCACTTTCAAAAGGTTTTGATAAAATAAAAGGTTGTTTTTATCATATGATATTACATGTTTTTATAAAGACAAGAAAAGAAACTTGAAAAGACAAGTCAAAGTTATTCTATAAACTAAAAGAAATAAAAGAAAGAGTTGGATAACTTGAACTTCAAATGCCACTCTTGGACTTTATTTTCGTCACATCCTTTTGTCCACAAAATAAACTGATTATTTTGGGCTTGCTTGAGCTTGAATTAGATTCAGAATAGTATAGATTTGGTAGCTATCATTCCCAAACGAATTCTGCATATTTTTCTTGCCAAAAACTTCACAATTAAGTCCACAAAGTGCATTCTTCAGCTGCTTAACTATAGCTCGGGTCATTGGTCCTTCTGGTACAAGCATAGCTTCCTCAGGTTCAAGCACAACTTCCACTTGATCATCCTGGTTTCTTTCCATGATCACATCAGAAAACGTTTATATAAGCCTAGCTCACGCTTAATCCTATATAAAACGTGGAAAGGAGATCTAAGTTAAATTGAAAAGTATGGACGGTGCAGAAAAGTAATCAATTAAAAGTGCATTAAAGTAAAAGCAGGTGCGACTGAAAGTAAGTGCAGAAAGTAAACAATGTGCCGTGAAGTCGAATGGGTAGAAAAATGTTGGGCTCTTGAGAATTCTTAGAAGTTCAAACTAGAGATTAAACATTAAACACAAGCAAACAAAAATAGGTGGAATTTTCATAAACTTAAATCACTGGTTTTATTATCCAAATACTTTTATAACTTATCTAACTTATACTACAAACAACTAACTTCAGTTTGTAACCACACAAGTGTGATGAACAACATTTGATAAACCGAGTTGATCCCTAAAATATGACACACCAAGAAATAAAGAGAATAACACTTATTAGGTTTTTGATAAAAAGAAAAAATGGTTGTTTTCTTAAATGAGATTACATGAATTTATAAAGATAAGAAAAAAGATTTGAAAAGACAAGTCAAAGTTATTGTAGAAACTAAAAGATAAAAGGAAAGAGTTGAATAGAAAAAATGTTATCTAAATTTTATTAAATTATTTTTATAAATAATAAAACTATAATTCTAAACTTATAAATTATGAGTTGCCGCATGTGAAGGGCTTGGCTCAGTTTATGCGTTATAGATTTACAGCTGAAGAAGAGAAGAAAAGTGTAATTACTGACCTTGTGAATTTTTACAGATTGGGGACTTTGAAGATTCTTGAAGTCAAAAAAAGGAGAAAGACTACGAGAACCGTCTTAACCCGATGTTTTGTTAACCTTTAGAATTGAGTAGGAAGAATGATCCATTCTCAAAGAAGGCTTAAACAAGTAACCTTAATGTTATATACCTGTGGGATAATAAGAGTTGTGCGAAAGATTATTTAAAAGGTTGCAAACATATGACTTAATAGGGCTCAAGGTCAAACAAGCCCATAGCACGAGAATTCAAGTTAGATAAAATCATGAATTTTAGGCAAATATGAACCTCAAACACAATATACCTAAATGTTGTGGGATGTCAATTCTATGTTTAATGCATTCTATAAGAATATTCAGTATCCTCTAAACAAAAATATAGTAACGTCAAACAAATTTTATAAGACACAATAAAAAGAAAAAAAAAACACAAAAGACAAAGATGGGCTGCGCACCGTCACCAAACTCGGCGCAAATGGAGATTCAACCCATTTAGCAGCCCATCAAACTTGGCAGAAAAAGAAAAAATCTTGGGAAAATAAAAATCTTAGAGACGTTGGTCAAACCGAATCCAAAAATAAAGGAAAGAGCATAAAATGAAAGATATCAATTGACTAGAATTATGTATAGCGTCACCAAACTCGGCTCAAATCGAGATTCAACCCATTTAGCAGCCCATCAAACTTGGCAGAAGAAGGAAAGATCTTGGGAAAATGAAAATCTTAAGGACGTTGGTCAAACTGAATCCAAAGATAAAGGAAAGAGCATAAAATGAAAGATATTAATTGACTAGAATTATGTATAGTTATATAAATAATTCATGAAGAAAAGGATTTTCATTATTTATTTAGGATACCTAAGAAATTGATTGATACAACATCTTTGGTAGACAATCTTCTAGCTCTTATTCTTTTCTTAGTTCATCTTGTTGTTCCAGTTGTTGCGGCAACGATAGAAAGTTATTCCATCATAAAAGTGTTGAAACATTTTATTTTTAGTGTCTTTTCTAATTGGAATATGAAACTGATCCAATCTATGTTTGTAGTCATCGTTGGTATTAGATTTTATTCAATAGATTTTGAGTAAACACTTGTTGCTTCAATAAATGATCTTCAATGGAGTCACGAATTGAGATTTTTAACTGAGTTGATGAATTTTTCTCATGGTATATGTTCATTTTCGGTTTGAATTTAAAATAAAAATTGAATTTTAATCATGACAAAAAAATTGTTCACAGTTTTAAGAAAACTTTGTGTATTATGGTATTTGATTTTGATTTTTTTGTAAATATTTATGATACCAAGATTATTGATGCCTGCAAATATGATATTCTAGTCTGGGAAATTTTGAAGCATGAAAACAAATGTTATCTTTGACCACTCTTATTTGTTTGTAGATTTATCCGGGAAACCAACTTTAAGAGATCTGCATGCATCAACCAAACTTAAAAAGGGGATTAGATACACCAATTTTTAAAAATTCAAAAGAAATATACTTGCATCAAGAATGAAAGGAAGAAGATTCTGATTTCAAGAAGACACAACAGATCTCACCTAAGCTTATTTCAAGAAGACACAACAGATCTCACCTAAGGATCATAGTACGCACAACTCTACTCTCAACATTTTTGGTGTTCTAATCAATACTAGAGTAACTTAAAAAGCTTTGTAGGACATTTTTTGAACATCGTGCAACCAGCTGAAGCTTGCATCAGAGATTTTGTATCATCAACCATCAAAAAGACCTGAAAAATCCATTTACAAACATAGTTCGTGACACATCGTAGACATCCTCAAATTAATGAATTAATATATGGATATTTTCATATAGAGTCATCAGAAAAATCCATATATTAATGTATTAATCCATGTCACAAACTGTGTCTATAAATGTACTAATTCTGGTATTTTCGATGCTTAAGATACAAAATTTCCTATGCAAGCTTCAGCTGTTGCACTATGTTTAAAAAAATACCATGGATCCTTTATGTTACTTTAATATTGATTTGACAACCCGAAATATTAAGAGTAGAGTTGTGTGTAGTGTGATCCTTATGACTGGAAAGGAACTTGGGTGATAGATGTTGTGTCTTCATGAAACTTGAATCTTTTTTCTTTCATTCTTGATGCAACTACATTTTTTTTTGCTTTTTTGAACTTGGCGTATCTAATCCTCTCTTTGGGTTTTATTGATGCATGCAGATTCTTTAAAGTTGGTTTCCCGCATAAATTAAACTACGAAGAATTAAGAGTGGTCAAAGATTACATTTGTTGTCACACTTTAATATTTACCCACTTAAATGTTTATTATTATGATCTAAAACAAAAGAGTCGTAGAAGAATTGAAATATTAATGACAAAGTCACCACAAAGAATATAACCAAATTGTTTTGTTAATATCTCGGCTGTCACAGATAACGTTTAGAATATTATGTGTTTGTAATTGGTTGCATCAGTTAAGTGTTTTACAAGATAACCTATATGCAACTCATTTATTTTCAATTGCAAGAAGCCAATTGAATCTTGCAAATTGATTACATGTAATGCATGATTTTGATTCACTTATAGTTGCTACAATTTCAAACGTCCTTACATTTAGGACAAGCCAATTAGTGTTTGCTATAAAAAAAATTATGATCTCTTGGTACCTATAAACGATAATACAAACACTAAAACATAATATACATTGATTCAAACATTAACTCTAGAATCATAAATGTTTGGATGATAATAGTTGAATAGATGTTAAATGATTTGGTACAAGAGAGAAGATGATGTGTGGTGTTAAAAAAAAAGATGTTGAATAAGAAAACAGATTTGGATATTAGACGACAATGGTTCAGTTGAAAAACAAATTCAACAGCTTAATAGTTACAATGGTGTGTTGAATAAAGTGTTGGTGCTCGTCCAATAGGGAGGGATGCAGCTAAAAAAGAGTAAAAAGAAAGGTAAGGATTCAGCCTTAAAAGTGGTTAAAGAAGAGTGGAAAGAGTTGGAATGATTAGACAAATTAGCTATACGACAAGAAGAGGCAAACTAATTGATGAAAGAAAAGACTAATGTTAAGAAGATGAAAGTGTTTATCTAAATGAAAAAGAGCATCTCAATGACAAGTGCAAAGAAGTTGAGTAATGATCTATTTGGAAACTAACTATTATCAAGTGTATGTCTATAGTTTGTCAATTTATGCTTTGAGATTTCTTTGTCATTTTCTGCTTTAGTATTTGTCAAGTGTATGTTTGTATTTTGTAACGTTCTATTTTAATAATGTTTTTTTGTCAGAAATCCATGACTTTTCTGTCAATGTATTTTGTGACTTTCAGCTTTTAATGGGATAATTCAATTCTTATCTATTGATTATGTCAATGTAATATTTGTTTGGAGTCCAGCGATTTCAACCATTCAATTGTTTTGAAAATAAAGATTTATTCTTTCATTAATGTA